CTGGTAGGGACTACAACGAGTTACTTCCCGGGTTTGTGACATCACAAGCCCTCATAAACCCCGCCCCCGAGAACATGCAACAAAGGGGGCGGGGCCATGTTGTGCTGCTTTAGAGAAGAGGAAGAGTTGTTGCCATGCCGTCAAAACTAGGGGTGCAAAAAAAAATCTATTCATATATGAATCGCGATTCTATCTTCTAACGATTCTAATGGATTCACAAGTTTCAAAATCAATGTTCTAAAGCAGCGGTTCTTAATACCGTTCCTCGCGTCCCCTGCTCTCTCTCTCTCTCTCTCTCTCTCTCTCTCATTCAGATCATCAGCTTGTCAGCTCCATCAGTGAACTGTGTTCAGTTATACACTTTATGTGTATAGACAGACAGATATTTTTCACATCGCTACGAGAAGCGTTAAACATGGATGTGCACACGGTTGCCATGGTGACGAGCAATACTTGCTGACAATCACTTCTTACTGTTACAAAAAGGCTACAACGCAATCATGTACTCTGCTGTTTTAAAGCTTTAATCAGGATAAAACCGTATATTAGAAGCTAACAGAAGCAGTAGCATTTACAAATAACAGCGTATCTAAAAGTAAGAGACAACAACAAACAAAAACATACTATTAAAAGCCGTGTTTGCACAGGTTCTGCACGATCCTCTTCAATAATATCCTCTGCTTCTGAATCGGGCTCAAATTGATAAGCAATATTAACGATGCAGATGTTTACAATACAACCGGAGCACATGCCGCTGAGGTGAGGGGCGGGACGTTCAGACACGCACTAGACGCAGTTTAGCCAATCACAACACAATGTGCCAGCTGACCAATCAGAGCCCATCGAGTATTTCTGAGGGAGGGGCTTCATAAAAACAAGTGTTTCTCAGAGAAGGGACAGAGCGGTGTAGAATAAAGGTAAATTATGTGAGAAAGAATGCGTTTTTTTTTTTGAGAAAATTTAAATCAGGGGACATTCCCAGAATACATGAAAAAAAAACTGCCCCGTTGACCCAGTGTTACATTCGACACAAACAGGGGAAGAAATAAGCTTCATTCTGAAACGTTTCAAGGGTGTGTAATATATTCTATGGACTACATTATTATTTATCAGCTGGTGGGCAGCATTTTTAGA